TCATATTTTCATCCAGGTAGGAATGGTGGTGTTCTTTTTACAAACTGGAGTAGAAAGCTGAGGCAGGCAAGAGAAGTCAGTTACAACTGAAACAGAGGAGCTGAGAGCTTATTTATTCTTTGTGTGGCCACTGAAAGCCATCCAAAAAGCTGACCTGACCTGCATTTGCTGTATAATACTTCTGGCTGAAAGAAATTCCTTTTGTTTGTGACAAAGATGAGGCTGCCTCTCTTATGGCAGATGTAACACACCGGAGACAAGGTTTTCCACCCCAGACAGGGTTTTCCACTAGGCTTTTGGTACTCACTGATGATCAAGAGAATTTCTTCCCCAGTTCTCCTCCACGCCATTGAACACATATCCTGATACCTACATCTTGTTCACAGTGGGTAGGCAAAGATGTTTGAAGGGCTACTCACAGGCTATTAAAAATATTACACATACAGTGTTCAGAACCTGATGGTTTGATGTGTCAAGATAATCACAGGGCATGTCTTGGTTTCATGAGCTCAGGTGACACACTTGGAGTGAAAACATGCTAACGTGTACATGAGGGATTTTACTGGTGTTAATGGAGCTGCTTCCCTGTCCTGTGATGCGAGAGGCTGGGACACCAGCTCTGCAGGAACAATACTCATGGTCGGGTGGGGAATGGACACCCTGGTCCAAACTATTAAGAACTTCTGGCTGACCTTGCAAAATTATTTTGAAAATGCAAGCGGTCAGATAGACAGATTGGACAGTTCTCACCTTGAGGAATTTTGCCAAACATTTGCCTTCCTTCCTCCGACTTCTGTTGGCTTTTGTAGAGCCAGTGGAAAGTAAAGGGATGTACATCACAGTCACATGACAGAATGCAGGTAAATTGAAAGAGTAATGGAGTGATTTCTGCATGCTGTGGATCAGTGCTGCTCTATAGTTATTGATGAAAGTACATCAGTTTATACCAGCTGAGCAACTGAAATATAGAGATATATTTTGAAAAATGGAAACAAAGCAATTGAAAATTACATTTGGAATTGTACTATCTCTCCATTATCAAGGCAGCAATGCAGGCATACATTCATAACTGAGAAAAAATAGGATATCAAAACTTTAAAAGTAAAGGAAGAAGGCTACCTTTCAGAGCCAGAATAGTGGGCAGGTCTGGTTTTATTATGTGAAACAGACTGCGTAGTCATAATTAACTCCTTAGAGGCAAGGCTTCTTGGAGTTTTCCTTTGCATACACATGCACTGCTGCTTTTGCAAGAGGAGCAGTCTCAAGCACCAAATACGGGACCTCTCCTTCGAGAATTTCAGCCTCAGTCATTCCCAAGAAGCAACCTGCACTCAGAAAAGATGCCAGAGAGATTCAGAGCAAATTTCCTTGTTCTTGCAAGATCTGACCTCAAAGAGCAAGGCACATGGTTTCAAAGACTTGTACATAAGAAAGACAACTTTCCAGACTACAAAATCCTAGCAGCTCCCAATGCATTGAATACACGTGGCTGGGGGTTGATCGTTTTGCTTGAAGTCATACTAGAAATTAAATGTCTTGGTCCCTACTTTTTGTCATTAGTTGAAGGGCTGTTGTAGAAGGCACAAATACATCTATGGCAAAGACCTTTTAGGGCTTATAATCTGACCAGGAAGATATTCTTATATTCAATTCCACATTTCTTTGAATCCCTGCTTTGAGTGATGCTTATGTTGTGGCCTTATTGCTGCATGCAACCTGGGTGAGCTTAGCACTGTATGGAGTGAAAATAGCAGCTGATGATTCTCTGAATTGACTGCCTTGTTTTTTTCTATTCTAGGTGATTTCCAAAGAACTCATAACATCTAGGTACATCTGTGCCAAAGGGAAAATGAGCTGTTTTTTTTCTTCTCTCTTCCAGTAGAAGTTTTAGAGAAATACTAAGTTTTCAGTCTCTTTCTTCTGTGGCTAAACATTTTCTTCAAGGCAAGTTCCAGCATTAAAAAAGAGAAGATTTCTGGTTTCTGGAATTAAGCCGAAAGTGTGTCCAGAATTTAAAGCACCCCCTGATGTGAGTGTTTTGTTAATACTAACAAGAGATTCAGAATGTTACAAAAAGCTTCAGATGATAGAAGTTTAATATTTCAGCAGTCTGCATGCAGCTGCTGTTCTTAACCTCAGGCAGCCTCTTCCAGCTCACTATATTAAAAATCTATTGCTCTAAATTTTGATTTTTAAAGGGCAGGAGCCCAGATGTATATAACTGCTTCTTACTGCTCCCATCTGTAGAGCGTGGCTCTGGCCTCACAGTGATAATGTGGCCGTGTGTTTTCAGCCTCTTGCTGTCCTTCTTCTGTCCATCACTTTCTGTGCGCTGCTTTCATCTGACTGAAAGGGGTCACCTCACAAAGGGGGAAACCCAATTTGAACCCAGTCCCATCTTCTGAAATCTCTGCCTGTATTTAGACAGGATTCTCTTTGATTTTGTGATTATCTGCAGTAAGATTTTTGCTGGAGAAAGACAGAGTTTGAGGTCTGGCCCAGTGTGAAACACAAACAACGTTTTTTCCATCTGACCATTACTCTATCTTGGAGAGGCTTCTGTTGATCCTGGAAGCTGTGAAGCAGCAGGATAAATAAAGCCTTTTTCTCCTGCTTGCATACCACTCATATGCCAGGAACAGCTTTTCTTCCCTTTAGGAAGAAGAATAACTGGAGTTACTCCTCTAGGTTTTTTCAGGGGCTGAAATTTAACTGCTGGCATGCTGAATTTCAAAAAGGGACATAAGAAACCCAGTTTTGAGGATGTTCACACTTTGCAACCACCCACATGTTCTTGACTTCTTCCAAGTGGCCAACTCTCATATCTTCCGCTTTGCAGAGCCACACATGTAAATGCTCTTGCATGAACGATTGGCAATGCAGGCAGTCTGTTGCTTCGTCCAGGTCTAACTGTTACCAGCATCTGTGGTACCAAGGCAAGCTGATGAGCTGACTGAAGTGTGGCTCTTCAGAAAGTGGTTACAGTGAATGCGAGGTCAGCACTGCCTCTGGTGGGAGAACACGCTGCACATGATAGCAGAAATGGAGAAAGGCAGTGTCCTCCATAGGGGGCCCATACCTGTTCTCCTCTTCAGCTTCAGTACTTACCCATGTGAGGGCTGAGACTACATTTGCTTTTCTCTCCTTGCTTTTGTTTCATCAAACTTGCCAAGGAATGTCTCTCTGCTAGGAGGAATGTGTACCTACCTGGCAGAGTGGATCTGCGTTTCAGCAGGGGCCTGACAACACTTCTGCAATAAACTAGCAGTTTCTGTATCTGCAGACACAACAGCTGTATGTCCCTAGTTACCCTCTTTGCACACACAGTGTGCCTCCTCTCCTTGTCAGTGCTGTAAGGGCACTGGGACTCTACTTTCTGAGAGAAGTACCTGAGGAGGGAAAGTGTGGCCATTACACCAGCAAACGTGCTAGTATCAACTGCAGTCTGCAGGCAGAGTGCAAGCTACAAAATACATTCTGTTTCTCCTTGACTTTTCAGGAACTGATAATGCGTGGCTGCTAAAAACCAAGACTTGTTGCAGGTAAAGAATTGCCCCAGACTCCAAAAAAACCTGTCAGGATGGATCCCAGCAGAAATTTTGTGAGGAAGAGCATGCCCAGGGTGCAATATTGCTTTCATTGCTCTTGTTCCTCTCTCCTTGCCCCTACCTGAGCTATACTATCTTGGCAGCTATGGATTGATGTAGGGGAAAGTAATCCCAGGACTACAAGGATGTATTGATAATGTATTACCCCTGATGTCATGTCACTGCCAAGTATGGAGAGGAAGCTGAATGAGACTGGTGTCATTCATTGGTGGCAAGAAATTACAGTTCAATAGGAAGCTTAATAAAGAGACAGTGAAGCAGACCCTCATGTTTGACAGGATGGAAAAGACCCTTAAAATTGATAGAAAAGTCAGCATCCCTATGCCATGTCAACAGCATTCTCAATGACTTGACACCAGTGACAGCTCGTCACTTGGGTTCTCCTGCCCAGGGCCTGACAGTGGGTCACGGCACGTCCCAGCAGTGCAGGAGAAAGTGCCGCTGTGCTTGGAGCAGATGGAGAGCTTTGTTGTGGTGGCCTCTCAGAGGAGGAAAGAAGTTGGGGCTGCAGGGTGGCAGTGTACAGTGGGGAGCAGGAGAGCAAGGGGTAGGTGAGGACCTCCTGGGTGCTGGGGTTGCAGACCCTCAGCTGGACTGCCACAGAGGTGTTCAGGAGGAATAATTCCCTCATACAACAGGGGGGAGATGAGGAGACTGTGGGATGTGACTGAAACACTAAACAGATGTGACTGAAACAGTAAACAGACACGGTGGTGGCTTTTCTGAAGTACATGAGAGGGGGCTAGGATGTTCTTTTTTCTCCTCATGTTTCTTCAGTGAGGCAGGTTTCTCATCAGGAGCCTATCTCTGGAGAGGGCACTTATCTGAGAGCAGCAGGGGCAGGATCCAACTCTCTTGCATGGACACATGAGTGAGAATGAATAGTAGCCCATCCAGCCCCTCTCCCTGCAAGGACAGACACTTTCCTGGCTATATACTTTATAGTGTTTTGTCTGGCCAGGTTTTGAAAGCCCTAGGCAGTGAAGTATCCAAGCCATTCCAGATAAAGAGCTTCAGCTCTGCAGCTCTGTCTCCTTTCTGAACTGGCAAGCCCCTGTCCCTACCATTGCAAGCTGGCTGTACCATCTCAGGGCACATTTGGGGTAAATAATGGATTGGGGGAAGTAACAGAGAGGAGGGGCACTCTGCAACTTTCCAATGTAAATTACATGGAAATTAGGCTTCTGTGAGGCCAAAGCCCCCTCCAGAATAGGGCCTTTAGTTAACATAACACTTGTGCTAAATGAAGCGGTTGACACAGCTTTCAGGCTGTAGTGCCGCTGTTAATTTACCATGTGAAAGGGCTGAACTGAGCTCTGAGAGGAACAACTCACCTCAGCGGGGACCTGGGGCTTGTTCTCTCCAGAGAGCAACCACATCATTCCACCGCTGGGTTGTTAATATTTATGGGAGTAATCCTGTTAACTGAAACATTTGCAGTGCTTTGAAAGAAAATAGTAGGTGAGCCCTACCTAGTCAGCTTCCTGTTTTGGGTGAGGTGGTCTGCCTAACAGCTGTGCTTTCTTGGAGCTTGGCAGAGGAAAGTGGTGGAGTGTGCTGCAAGCTGCCTTATCCTGGGTGTAGGTGTTTTCATGCCCCATTTCTGTAGTGGGGTGATTAGTTTGGGCTTCTCCTTCCCCATCTCTTGTTCTGCTTTAGTATCCTGTTATTCCCAGAGCATAAGTTGGTATCTTGCCCTTCTTCTCTGTATTTACACTTGTGTCTACCCAAAGCAAACCTCAGCAAGTGGAGAAGTATATGGAGGTGCAGATGAGATCTTACTGGTCCCAAAGGCTATGCATGTTTACAACAAGGCCATACCCTTGTTGGCTTGTGCCTGGGGCAATTTTCTGACTGTTTTCACAGAATCATGGAACAGAATGGGGTGAAAGGGATCTCCAAAGATCATCTAGTCCAACCCCCCTGCAATGATCATGGACATCTTCAACTAGATCAGGTTGCTCAGAGCCCCATTCAACTTGACCTTGAATGATCCAGTGATGGGGCATCTACCACCTCTCTGGGAAATCTGTTCCAGAGTTTCACCTATGAAGAGAGTTGTTACCCAGGGGGAGGGTGAGGCTCGATGGACCAGTCCGTGTCATGGACACACATGCATGTGCGCCAGTGATGGAAATGGTGTTAGTCTGCAATTTTGGGTTTTTTTGCAGTCAGATTCTGGCTTGCTTGCCTGTTGTCCCTCAGCTGAGAGGAAGTTTTGGGACCACCCCAGCAGTGGAGAAAGAAGTCTCTGCTTTACCAACCCTGCATCCTAGCCACAGGCATATGGAGCTGGCTCATCCTTGCTGTAAAAGCGTGAATTAAACCTACCCTTAATGCACTGAGTGGACCCTGAAGTGAAGGGCAAGCTGGTAGATGTGTGTCACCCAGATTCAAGCAGAGGGCCAGTGCAAGGCTTGGAGCAGCACTGAGACTTCAGCAGCTGTAGTTGTCCTCCAGGCTACAGAAGGGGCTAGCTGTGAGTCTAAGTGAAAGGGAGTTTTCACCAAAAAAGGTAGTGCAGGATCGATTTGCCTGCACATAGTCACCCCCACAACCTCACCACACGTACTGTCAGAGCAGAGAGTGAATCTCCCACTTAGGAATACAATAGATCCACTGGCCTGTTCCTCAGCACCGAGTCATGTTAAAGCTGGCTTTTGAATGAACACTGCAACTCTGTCTCTGGAAACATTTGCAAGCTCAGAGCTGACTAAATAAATTTTAAAAAACCCATCCTCCCAAAAAAAGAAGAAAAGAAAAAAGAGAAAAAATAGATTCTTGTAATGAGAAGCTTCCATCCTTTCCTGCAAAGTGCACCTGACCTAGCCAGCGTAGCTCTAAGGCTAGCAAACATGGTTTCAGCTACCACCTCATACCAGCCTCCGAAAAGGGCAGAGGGCGTGTGGTGAGAAGAGAAAAAGCAGAATAGAGCAAATCTCCTGGGAGATGCAAAATAAGCTCCCTGGATTGCCAGGACTAGTGGTGACACGCGCCAGACAAAGGACCTGCTACTCTATAAATGAAGCAGCCAGGACCAGCTCTAGGCTGACTCCAGCGAGAGCGATCTCTGTGGCCAGGCATTGCCAGAGCAGTCAGGAAAGAAAAATAGGGAGCGTCTGATTTTGCTGTCTGCCCGCTGACCAGGTTTCAAGAGCCACAAGCATTTGTGACCAGAAAAGTAAGTGACAATGGCCTCTTCTCTTTACTGCACTGCCTCCCCTCTTTTGAGCTGATCTTGCAACTTTCTTAGGAATGCCAAAGTTTCCTCCTGGAGCAGGGAATATCCTTAAAGGAAGGAATTTCTGCAATAGCTTTTTACCATCCACGAGATTTTTATTTCTTATTATGGCACCTCCGGATCTTGTCATCAAAAAGAGTAAGGCACCTGATCTGACAAACAGAATAGTTACAGAAACAGCAATTTACAGGTGGCTGTGTTTAATTAAGAGAACTATGTTGCCCTATTTTTGTGCCTGGACTTTTCAAATTCTTAGTATCCACACAGACTCAGTGAATCAGACCTTGTTCCAGGAGAAATTATTGATTGGTTTTACTACTTATGAAAGAAATGTTGATGCTTAAATGTGGAGCAAGCTAATGTGATTTAAAAATCACTTTTCCTACTATTCCTAGATATTCTTATAATTGTATAATTACACATTAGGCAAACTCATTTATACCACTGCACAGTGCTATAAATCAGAGTTATTGCACTGGTGTAAAATGATTACACAAAGCATCATAGACTGTCTGAGTTTAGAACTAAAACTTAACAGAATTCTCCAGTGATGTTTGGTATTTAAAATAAATAATTTTTAAATCACAGATAATCATGGGTTTGTTAGACTTTGTGATATGTTTATATACTAGACTTTGTAGAAATCTTATGACAGTGTCAACAGGTAAAGATGTAAAGTTTTAAATACCATTCCTCACATATTTAAAAATATTCCCACTATTTTATTGGTTGTCTGTCTTAGAGCTAATGTATGTGTAAAATGCATAGGCATTTGAATTTTGCTCAATTCAATAGTTCACTTAGGAGGAAAAGCTTAGCAATTTTATTAATTTCATTTCTGCCAGTAAATAATAATAACTCTCAGATTTGTAAAATGACTTTTGAAACTGACAATCAATAACATGTTTATATTTCCAGGAGTAGCCTTCTGCATAAAGCTGTATTTGCCTGAGAAAATTAATAAATAATAAAATAAACATTTGTCTGAAGTAGCTGTCTCTATCCTTCCTGACTTCCATATAACAGTGTAGGACAATATTTGATTTTCAGAACCTCTTCCCACCATGTGTTTTCTATATTGTTTCACAAAAAAAAAAAAAAACAAACCCAAAAAACCCCCAAACCAACTAAAATAAATGCAATTTGGTTTTACTGACTGTTTACATAAATCATTAAAGTAGTTGTGATATGAGCAGCTGATCCAAGAAATGAAATGCTCGTACAGTCAGTATGCCAGGTAGGAGGTCTGGGGTCTAAATGCAGGTGCCCACTAGAGTGTGGTTGAGCCAGTGATGATCTTCATGCTGATCTTTCTATCATGTGTGGCCTCACAGAGGGTAGCAGCATGACATTTAGGGGAAAACAGGGTTGTGGTCCTTGTCTTGCAGTGGTTTGTATCACACTTTTGGAAGTTACAATTTGCTGTGGTGGTGATGTTTCTCCATGCTTATGGTGAACTCTAGTCTTACAGCAGACTCAATTAATTCCTGGGGTGATGCCATGGTGGTCAGTAGAGTGGTTTTCACTTGTGTTTGGTAGGATGGCAGGGCACTACATGCCACTATCAGGATGCTGTAAAGCTTTCAATCTTGCTTTTGCTGAAGTCGCAGAGAGATTGGCTGTCAGCCTCAGAGCAGACCTGGATAAAATGCAAAACCAGATATTGTCTGGGGGTCATATTCAATCATAATACAAGACCTACATTCCCCCTGATGCAAATGTCCCTTACAGCACTGGATTTTCCCTCCTCTGCTCCCAACAACTCCTGTAACAGTGTGGGTGGCTGCGGACTGGTCTTTGCTGAATTGTAAGACATGCAGCCTCTGTTCCCCACTCCTTACAGGTTTTCAGTAAGGATTACTATGTATGCAAGCAAGGCATGGAAGTTAAAATAAAGGGACATGTTTCTGCTATTAACAGCTACCTTACTGCCTCATAGTGGTAGGTGGAGGAAGAGGCATGTAGGAATGAGTGCTGTAATGAGGTGGGAGGAAATACCTGTGTGGAACAGGGTTTTGCACACAGTGTCTGGACAAGAGGAGTTCCTGAAGAACTCCTGGAAGACCATCAAGCTGTCAACCATGAAGCACTGGGATAGTGTCTGTATGTAGTACTGGGGAAGTTAATGTCAGAGGCCGTTTTTAAATAAAATCCACTGGAACTGTAGCTCAGACTGTAATGCAAGAAGGCCTTACTGAAGAAGGGACCAAGAGGACAGAGAAGCACTTTTCCAAGAAAGGCTCTCAGATCTTCTTGAACAGAAAATAACATAAGTGGGAGTTTAGTGAATAAAGGCTAAACCTTCTGGCAGAATGTTCCTTTTTCAGCTTTGCAAGCTGTCACATCCATGCCAATACACTAGACCTCCACTTAGCAAAAGCTGTTGCAGCCCATGAGTGGGTTCTTTGTTTTGCACAGAGCTGTGTCATAATTTGAATTTACTGCAAATGAACATAAAATGAATTGACAAGAGGGGAGCCACAGGGGAATAAAGAACCCAAAACCTCTCCCACGTGCAGACTAAACTTTTCCTTGAGTAAACCTCATCATCACTATTACTAAGTTCTTAACCACGCATTCTGTGCTCTCCCAAATGCCTGCTGGGTGTCAGCCCATTGCTTTGTAGACATACCTTTCCTGAGGCAGTCTCAGGGGACATGATACCAGGGTGTCCAGGTTATGAAGTCTGCAGACTAGGCTGATTTCTCAGAAAGCAGCAAGCATTCTCCCCCACTGAAGGTCTGCACCCTCTAGGAGGGCAAGTGGATTACAAAACTAAGCAACCCAGGGGCAACACAAGGTCAGGTGAAAAACTTGCCTCTTGAAACTGTGATCATATATAGACTAGTAACCCCAAACATGAAGGCTGACATAAGCCTGAGGCTTTTACAGAGTTGCTTTGGAAGACTCCAGTGATTTCCTTTTTCTAAAGGTTGAATGAGAGCACAGCATAGCTGAGAGAGTTTCTGTAAATGCTGCCCTTAGACTGGAGGGCTCCCAGAAGCAGAGATTCCACTATGTGCATTTTGTTCTAGACTTACAGACTCTAAAAAAGGTAAATCACTCTGTCAGCTCTGACTACTTTTTATAGAGCTTTTGCTCTTCTGTTGTACTTTGTACAGTGGTATCATTGTCAGGTAACACTCCCAACAGAGGTGTGAGGCAGTGAAAGGAGCACTTGTTTGCTCCTGAAGTAGCTCCTCTTCCCACATCTTATTTGACATAAAATGGAGTTCACTGCTGGTGTTAGGAATCTCCCTGTGAGAGCGGAGAGAGGCTCTTCTCTTTCATTACTCATACACAGCACCTACCAATGCTGAGCAAGGCTGGGCCACGCTGTGCTGGCAACTGCTCTCTCTCACACACACACACACACTGAGCAACCATGCAACAAACAGGGCATGGTGTAGCTGCAAAGAGTTTGAGCTTGTTCCTTCTAAGCGGTGGGAAAAAAAAAAAAAAAAAGTCACACGTTATGGATAGGCAGTGTAATGTCCTGTGACATCCATGCTCAATCTTCCCCTCTGCATAGATCTGAGTCCCACGCTCCAAGGCTCACATGAAACCAAAGGGAAACAATGAGCTTCCTCTTGCTTCTCTTCTCCAAATCACACTGATGCAAAGTGAACAAAGCACAGCAGTGAGGAATCTTTGCTCCCTGTGGTAGATCATGCTCACAAGTACCTGCCTGATACAGGAAACAGGCACCATCTGCTCTTCTGTTGCCATTTACTTGAGGGCTGAGAGGACTTCATAAAATCCAATGCAATGTGTTAAATAAGCAATTTTACCAGGCACTGGGTTTCCCCCGTGGAGTAATGGTGTGGCACTGCAGGCTTACTAGAAGCACTCTGATTCTTGTTGGCAGCAGGCGTCTGCTCTCTGATTAAGATTTGCAGGAGTAGGTCTCCAGTGGCCAGTTTTAACACAGATTTAACTTCACCGAGGTCAAAGGTATAACTTGAGGGAGGAACTTTCTCATCCAAGATCTTTATTTAATAGCAACCTGCTAATTATGACTGAGTGCTGGGCTCCTGGTGAGTCCCCTGCCAGCTCTCAGACATTAACCACCGGCTTGGGGGCCATTTGCTGGGGAATGTCCTAGCAGAGATGGTGCTTTGTGCTTAAGCTGCTCTTCTGCGGCTGCCTGCATTGGTTGAATAGCTTTTGCATAGAGAGGCTGTAAGAAATGCTGCTACTGGGGGAGAAATCTTCATCTTTTCTATTGTTTAGTCCTTTGTCTGGTGACACTTGCGGCTGCATTAACCACAGCCAGTATTTTTTTCTCCCTATTTTTATATTTTTCAAAGGGGTAGGCAGGGGAGTGGAAAGAGCTTCAGTTATCTGGTGAGTGGTGGTGTTTTGTTTTTTCTTCTTCTGGCTGTTGAAGCAGATTCACTGGTGGACTGGGGTTATTTCTTTGCACAATTCTTACACACTGCAGATGTGGATCTTAGCTCATGAAACTGCACTTACTTAGTACTTCTAGATGTGTCTTGATCTGAGTTAAATCCTGTCCTCAGTGGCAACATTTTGCCCTTGAAAGTAATTGCTCTGTTGAAAATGGCGTGACTTTCCAGATTTACATTCCTGAGAGCAGAATTGATCCTCTTGAATTTAAGTTGCTGTCTTCCTGTGTTTCTTTATTGTCAGCTAAATATGGGGCTGTAAACCTGTGGTTAGGGAAGGTGACCAGAAAGCACAGAGTAGAGGCTTGCAGGTTAATGCAATTTATCTGTTCATGATATGTACAAATGGATGATTTCTGCACAGGTTTAAAATGGATCAGCCGGATACAAGCTGCACGCAGCCACTAGACAATACATATTTTATACAGTCCACCAGAGAAAACTAAAGAATACACTGCTCAGATGTGCAACATTAGAAAAGACTTGAAGCTGCAAGTAATATCATATCGAAAGCCAAGCTTGGTGGGGGGGTTGAAGAGCAGGAGGGAAGAGGAGGAAGGGAGTGAGACAGAAGGAATGCAAATCAGATCCCTTGTCAGTAAACTGGCTGAATTTTATCCGCAAGGTGCTGTGGTTACAAAGAACTCAAGGTATGTGTAGGTGATGATATGAGAAAAGGAGCTGTGCTGAAACATTATAATTACTGCAGGATTGTACCAGGCTTGTTTGTCTCTTGTTTCTAGCTGAAACTCTGAGCACAACAGGAAACCCGCACCAGTAAAGGGAAAAAGGAGAGAGGAATTTAAGGTGGAGAGGTGTACAGAAGTGGATTGCACCTGAAATGAGGCTCTGGGTAGAGCTATCAGCACAAGAGGAGACACTGGGAGAGGGAAGGAACTGTTTGCTGATCTTGAATAAACGTCAGAAATACAAACACATGTTTTTGAAGTGTAAAGCAAAAGCTGGTCTCATACAGACATCTGTTTGCTGCCAAGGCTTGTGACCACAAACACGGTATTGTCCTTTCCAAAGGCAAGAGAAGAGAGAGAAGGAAGGTGTGGTGTGAAGGAGTAGGCTGGGGTTATTTTTCCACCAACAATACTTCTAACAGGGCAAGATGATATGTTCACAGTGCCAGGGCTGGATGCTAACCTGCTTTCCTCGAATGCTGCACTGGAGACTGTCTGCAGCAGCAGAAAGAGAAGGAGCAGTCCCTCTCTTAGTATTTGTAACTGAGGTGTAAACAGACATCCAGCAAACCTAGACCCACTTACCAGAATTACAGTGCACGGACTGAAAGGCCTTGCAAAATACAATCTACCTGACCCATTAGAAGAAACAAGGAAGCCCAAATAACTTCCTCAATGTTATAAAAATGCTATAAAAAATATTCCCTATGTTATAAAAAACCCCTGTTTTTGTATATGCATAAATTTGTCGAACACTAAAAATAGAAGAGAGAGAGAGAAGCAGGTGGCACATGGATCCAAGCATCTGATTGGATCCATGTGAAATGGATTCTAAAATAAAGAATAAAACTATAAGGGCAAAAGTTTTGCCTTGGGGAGACAACATGCCACAGTACAGAGGAGCACTGGAAGTCAGTGTTTAAAATCTGTATCACTCATGTGGCAGTGTTCTTGCCAAAAAACCACATGCTAGTTGCTACAGGTAGGTGCAAAGTACCAAGCAGATTTGTTCCCATAGTACAAACCAAAAGTAATACATGGAGTAGGGGAATAATAAAAAAAAACGGAGCAATATAATCCCCATATGGGTCAAGTGATGGGTCTCAATGTTGGTCTACAAAATATAAGAAAAACTCTCAACAACCTGAAGTATGAGTGTTTGTTTTTTTAAATAAGCCTCTCATGAAGCAAGGACATTTTGATGAGACAACTTTCTCATCCCCTACAGGCCGAGTAGACAACCGAGCCTTTACAACAGTAATTTCAGACTTCTACCAAAATAGAAATGTGTTAGCTCTGTAACGGCTACAGCTGAGAGGAGCCTGCAAGGTATGAGCAGCATGAGTGCAGCTGTATATAGCACACATGGGCGTATCTGTACTAGCTGCATTTCTGACCGAGGTCTCTGAACGCGTCTCTGACATAATTTATGATGCTGTAACCGTGTTTCCCTAGTGATTTGTAATCAGTGCTGGACTGGACCTTGAAGGAACTGGGAGGGAACTTCCCCAGCTGCTATGCATGTCTTGTCTCCCTGCCAGGGCACCCCAATTAACCTCCAAAGCACAAGGGGATTTCTTTATTCACCCACTCTATTACCAGATACTTTGGTGAGCCGTGAGTGTCTTGCACAGTATGAGGCTGCTTCACATGGACACAGGATCATAGCTGGGCTGTCACCCCAAAGTTTCCTCTTTCTGGGGTTGAAGGGTGCTATCCCTCTGGCTGCCCAGTTCCCTGTGGACTGCTATAAGGTGGCTTAGCCAATGAATATAAAAAGCTGAGGTTTTCACATACATAAGAGGGTAAGTGGAAACATTTGTCCTTTAGTCTCTTGGCTGCAGATAGTTTTTCCCTGCTCCAATTGTCTGTGTGCCATTGGCATAACAAGCAGCTTCAGAAATGGAGAAGTGAGTATCTTCTGTGGGGCTGTGGAGAGAAGGGAAGACTCTTTCCAATGGTGGTGGGAGCAGGGTCGGGGCAATCCCAAGAGCTTTTGACAACCTTTCTGGTAAATGGCATTTAAAATCACTGTGCACATCCTGCACAGCATTCTGACAGGTCTGCTCTGGGCACTGGGTTCCCTTTGCTGCTTAGCTCTGTGAGGCAGGGTGAACAGGTAACACATATGTAGACATTTTGTCTGGGATGTCTGCATGTTTTGTAGGAACCACAGAATTGCACTTTCTCTCTGCAGCCTGCACTCATGGCACTTGTGGCTAGTCTTGGCAGCTCTCAGGGGATAAAGCAGAAGCCTGAATGGATCAGACTTAAGAGTCTCTACCACCAGCAGTGAGCAGTCAGTGTGGGCTAGGCAGGAAACCACACTGTTAAGTCCCTGGAGAAGTTTCCTGAAATAATCATAATCACATGTGTCTGTAGTATCGGTTGTCTACTCACTGAAGGCCCATGAGGAAGGTCCACCTGGCTTAGATCCAGCCACAAGTCACCGAGCTTGGGCCAGCTGGGGGCAGCCCCAAAGAAGATGTGAACGGGGACTGGGAAAGCATGATGTGTTCTGCCCTGGGGCTGCCTGCCTTTGCCCATAATAAGTTCCCGGTTGGCCCTCACACAGCCTGGTGGGATGACTAATGAATTGGCTATTGGGAGTTCTGCTGCAGGAGAACTGTCAGGAGCCTGGCGAAGCTGGGGTCATAGCACCGCCAAACAGGTGTATGGGGAAATTAAACTCCATTTACTCCTTTGTGAAGTCCTTACTGGAATCCGATGTCTGGTTGCAGCTGCAATGCTTATCATCATGGCTGCAAACGGGGACATGACATAAGGGATTAGGCTGAATCTGTACAGTACATGCAGGACAAGGGCATCAGCCACAGATGGCAAAAATTAGAAAAGCCTAGCACTACTACTGTGTGCTTGCTGATAGTCCAGAGGTTACAGTGCCCCCAGAGCAGCAGCCTGCGTGAAAGCCAGGGATACCTAGCATTCACTGATCATCTCCTTTGCTTTGCAGCACCTTGAGAATGACAAGAAATATCTTCACCAACACCAGGGAGCGATGGAGGCAGCAAAATGTCAACAGTGCCTTTGCCAAGCTGAGGAAACTCATTCCCACCCATCCTCCAGACAAAAAACTGAGCAAGAATGAGACACTCCGGTTAGCTATGAGATACATCAACTTCCTCGTCAAGGTCCTGGGAGAGCCAGGTCTCCAGCAGACAACAGCACGGGGCAGCATCCTGGGGTTCTTCCAGCAAGCCCCATGCTTGCAAAGCATGGAGGAGCTGGCACTTATTGAAAACTGTGGTGTCTCCTCTCCTGGTATGAGCAGCAATATAGTAGAGCGTTGGTCAGAGACATCATCTCCCTAGTAGACAATGAACCATCCAGTCTTGGTGTTAGTTGGATAGTCTCTCTCTTTTTCCAGAATCTGTGGGTTGTTCCTCTGTGCATTGTGAATATTTATTTATATTTATTACTGTTTTATATGATATACATTTCTACTTAATAGGAAAGGAAATCCTTGGTCAGCCAAGAACCTGGAAGACCAGACAAAGAACTTGCAGCCCCTGGGAACTGGGAACGGCTCGCTGCCATCACAGCAGAGTCCAAGACAGAAAGGCCTTCTATCCTGGTCTCCTTCATAAATCAGGCCACAGAAATTCATCCAGTGTTTCTGGCAGGGAAAGAGATTACTCTCCCATGCTATTTCAATGAAACACTACTGAGTTCAAGAATGATGAGTGCACCTCAAAATTTGTCCAAGACAGGCATCTGGCCTCAGTAGTGAAAGATTTTGGGAGATGTGATATTTGCCACAGTCCTCTGTCAGTTGTTCCAGGGACTAATTGCAAGAGTGACTTGAGCCTGTGAATCTTTTTTCCAGCTTGATTCTTTTTCTTGAAAATATAAGTCCTAGCACTTGAACCTGACTACACCTTTCTCCATCATACTGGAGGGATCCCTAGTATCAGATCAAAATGCTACTATACAAAATTAAACATTAAGTTAAAGCAAAAATGCTTTCAAATAAAAGAAGACATAGTCATAGATGAGTTTCAGTGGTTACAATAGGCAGAGTGAACCTTTGTAGCAGTGACAGTGTGCATGTGAAGGAAGGTGGTCAGGTACAATCCAGCTGCCTTAAAATCCCATGAAACAGGTTGGTGGCTAAACATCTTTGTTCTTCAACGGCTGTAGCAATGGGGGAGGTCCTGTTTTGGGAGGGAGATCCCAGGAGAAAGTCTTCAATGGTGCACTGTGAAAACCTTCATGGAAACACCAGTGATCAGTGTCCCTTCCCATGCCAGTGCACAGAAGAAGTTGGAGCATATCTAAACGTGGTAGAAGGTGCTGGGCATGCACCACTGGTGCACTGTGGTGCCTCTTTGGCACAGGGCTGTGTGCCAGGGGTACTGGGCATCAAGATCTTGAACCAGCCCTGCTTTTGCTGCCATGGGAAGCAGAGCCAAGCTGCACACATGCTTGCTGTCATCTGTAAGACCTTGGTGCCCTGATGCTCCGCTACATGAAATTGGATTGATGTCTGCCCCAGACAGGATACCAAGACCATGGACAAGATTAGGGGCAAGCTGCCTCCATACCCAGCTGACTGCTTTTAAACTCCCCACTTCCACTTGGTGTAGTTGAGGTTCCTCCATCTGGACACTATCTCAAATGGGCTGATGGAGCAAGGACAAAGAAATTGGTGTAAATGTCCTCCCCTTGATTCACTGGGTTCTCTGTGGGGAACACCAACCACCATGCTTTAGGTGTTTAGATGATAAGCAGAATGAAAAGAGTTCTCATAAAAGTGACTATTGTGGGTTGTTGCCCACAAATCAATTTAATTTCTTGATTGAATTATAACTTGTGCCAGTAAAGGTCTGCACTGCTCATGCAAGTTCTAAAGCTGCATAAAGCAACAGAAAAAAAATGACATCAGGTTTAAGTAGAACTGCTTCCTGATCAGATTCTGCTCCCGCTGACACAGGTCCTTTTGATTTCATTGTGGATCAAGGTACGTGTCAATGCTTAGAAAAGACAGCTATTCACCACGGGTAAAGAAATGGAGCTCTCATGTGCCAAGGCATGTACCTGGGCTGTTTCTATTTGTTTATGTGACAATGAGTTGCTCTCAGGAAGCAGAGGTAGGCTTTGCACATGTAACACATGCAGGCCTTCTGCATGAGTGGATTTGGCAGCCAAAGCTGAGCTGACTTTCAAAGCCTCACCAACCACCAGGTGCACCAAAGAATTCAGGGCTGGTTCCTGCTAAGCGTGTATTGGGCTGTCCTGTGCACTGACAAAGACCAGGGTCTGACAGGAACACAGCTAACCTTATCCAGGGCTGGTGTTATAAGGTACAGATGTGCCAGTGGATGGATTTTGACCAAAAGAAAAAAAAACAAAAACAAACCCAAAAGAGTTCATGGTGATTTAATTTTGTTTCTAAACACTGCTAATCTTCAGTTTGCTTATCCCTGCATTTCTGAGCTCTCAGAGCTGAGGACTGCACTGGAGAGCTGCTGAGTGGAAACACACTGAGAGTCTTTTGCGTGGTTTGTGAAATCAGTACTGCTTTCTCACTGCCCCTGCCCACTTTAATGTTACTGAACGCAGTCACAGCCTCTTCTGCACAGCACCTCAAAACGTAATCAGCCAAGTCCTCCTCCTAGCTTTCTGTTGTCTTGATGGGAGTTACAGAAGGATAAACTAGTCCAAGTAAATCAGAGCACTTGTGGGCAAGGTGTGGTGGTGCTGTTTGGTCTATCAGCCACTTGCAATCCTGGGAAACACATATCACCAAGGCAAGCCAAAACATCTTGTGAGCAGATTTATTGTCCAGGGAAGGGGAAAGAAAACCTGGCAATTTTGTAACTTATCATGCTTGTTATATTTTCTATCTTAAAAGGCTTCCCTCCTTGTTACTGCTTTGGTTCTTGTCAACTATCTTTTTGCTCTGCTTTCCATTTAGGAGCTCCCTACGCTCATGTTCAGCATGTGTTTCACTAGGTCTGTCTACCAAAGAATTTTTTTGAGGGGATCATGTTTCTTCTTCACATTTTGTGGATTTCTTATCTGTATGATCATGGACAAATACAGTGTAACTGATCACATTTTGTGCTATATGATGTTATTTAACATCTAATATATTCCAAATAAATTATTTAATAAACAAATCTTTGTCTTTTTAAAATTATCTAAAATTTAATTTTATATTTGCATACCACTTGGTAGAGGATGCCAGTAAAGTATCGTTCTACTTTTCAGCATTTACAGAGGAGTCTTGATGTTAGAAACAACATCATCAGAAGGTGAAGAATGACAGGAATTCTTTGTTAGTTATGATTTCTTACACTTTTTGGTTGAATTGTATTTCACTCTACATGCTAAGAAGATTTTGACTAGTTCTTGAAAAGACAGATAAATAAAATTTCTTTGTGCAACACTATTGTATTTGTCTTGCAAATATTGACACTTCAAAAGATTTTAACCAATTCCATTTTAAAAAGCAGAACTCACCTTGAAGTATTAATTTGGACTCTGATTTGAGTCTATCATTATGTGGAGATATTCAGATAGGCACAACCTACAGATCTGGACTGCAGTCCAGGTTTAGATATAAAAATTAATCTAAAGTTGAGGGGGATCTTAGGGTGTAAAGCTGCTCTTTCTGGCTAACATCTGGTGGGAACAACCTAATCCCCAATTGAATTTGAGGATGGGAGAGGGAGAGGAAGCACTAGGATGACAGATGTAGAAGTTATGAGGAAAAGATGGGAAGTTGCTGGGACACAGGGCCAGTTTCAGTTTCATGCTTAATTGGATGTGTCACAGCTCTGACACTGCTCTATGATACAACAAGAGAGGGGTTTCTGCACAATATGTGTCTGAGAAAGGTACTGTCTCAAGAGATTATATATAAAAGTCATGAAATCAGCAAGAGTGAGGTTCAAAATATGTATTTATAATAAGTAAGGCAATGCCACCTGTCCTGGGTTGAGTGAGTGGTGGAGTTTTTTGGTGGCAGGGGAGGGGGCTATAGGGGCGGCCCCCTGTGAGAAGCTTCTCGAAGCTCCCTCAGCTCCAAGTCAACTCCACTTCTGTTTGGGAGATTGAGCCAATCGGCGGCGCCTCTGCGATAACGTATTTAAGAAGGGACGTGGTGACGAGCAGTGGGACTTGTGAGGAGGAGTTGCTGCAGCTGCACGAACACCAAGGTCAGTGGAGGAACAGAGGAAGAAAGGAGGGGGGAGGTGTGCCGGAGCAGAGACCCCCCTGTATCCTGTGGTGAGACGGCAGGGCGGCCCCCCCTGCCACCCATGGAGATCTACGGTGGAGCAGACATTGATTTATGGCCTGTGTTTTCTCATGGATGATCAAGGTGCTGTGCCCAAAGAGGGCCAGGGTCTCATGAGAAAAGGTAGCCCCGTTGCTGTAATTCAGTGCTGGGAGGATTGCAGCATGCGGGGGAGTCCCACGCCGGAGCAGCTCGGGAAGGGCTGCAGCCATGGGAGGGACTCCAGTTGGAGAAAGTTGGTGACCCATGACGGAGCAGTGTGGGGAACGCTGTGGCCTGTGGGAGGAACTCATGTTGGAGAAAGTCTGTGGAGGACTGTCTCCTGTGAGAGGGGGACCACGATGGAGCAGGGAGAACAAGTTCCAGACGCTCCACCCACTGAAGATGGAAAAGCGTCAGCACTAACTGCACACCGCCACCTCCCCCCCCATTCCCTGCCCCTGCGCTGCTGGGGGGAGGAGGTAGAGATATCGGGAGCAGAGCTGAGCCCGGGAAGAAGGGAGGGGTGGGGGGAAGGTGTTCTCAAAATGTGACAATGTTTCTCACTGTCCTACTCTTAAGTGTTGTTGTTAGTGTCTGTAATAAAAGTATGTTCTTTTTTTTTCCTCCCCTAACGAGTCTGCCTTTTGCTCATGACCACAAAGGGTGATTTTTTCCCCATCCCAGTCCTATCTTGAACCCCAAGCCTGGCTCTCTGTCCCTTCTCATTGCCGGAAGAGAAGGGAGAGAGAGTGGCTGCGTGGTGGTTGGCTGTCAACCAGGCTCAAACCACGACACCACCTTAAAGAGGACCCTCTGTTTGCAGCAGGTAATGCCAAATTAGTTAGTATGCCCGGGATCATGTGGCAATGCCTCCTCTGGAAGTGAGCACAGTATAGCCATGTTAACATGTGGTGTGAGATAATGGGACCTGTGGAATGGAGATGTACCAAGTCATCTGAAGCTAGCTGAAAATGTGTCACATATGTTGCAGCAGTGGCAAACCTTAGTATAAATGACAAAAATGTCCCTAATCATAAGGTCCCTACTGAGTGTCCTAGTTTTAACTAGCAGTGCTAAATAGAGTTGCATGAATAGCACTTTTTTTTTTTTCCTTTTATAGTTTTTTTTGTTGTTGTTGTTGTTGTTTGCTTTTTTTTTTTTTTTTTTTAAGGATATGGCTGTCAATATTGCAAGGAAGACCAGCTAAGGCAGGATCTTCTAGAAGCACCTTTGGTATCTCCTGATACAAAAAAACATGATGCAAAATAAAGAGTCATGGCTTTCTCCAACTCATGGTAATATTAACCTGCACAGATGGTGTGAGGTTTCCTCCCATGCCTTTGTGATGCAGAAATCCCAGTAAGACATTTCTTTACTTAGAATTTCCAACAGGATCAATGGAAGAATATAGCTTCACATTTCAGGTCCAATGAGGATTACTTTCTTCAGAGTCTGGGTACAAGGAGACGAGTGCCACTTTTCAGCTATCACAGAACTGGAAGGAACTGATGCCAGCAGAGGTGCAATGTACACTGTCCATAAAAGTAACCCACATGCCATCAGGAACAAGCCTGCTGTGCAGACTGCCTTTCATCATGTCCACTTTCTCCATATCTCCTTCATGGCTATGGATGTAACTAAATTTGGATTGGGTAAGGAAAGAAATATGTTGCAACTGTGTCTTGCAAGGATGCTGTAGTGCATGAATCCTAATGATGGCCAGCCTGTACTTAGAGGAAGGGCAGGTGTGCAAATCCAGGTTTTGGTCTGGAATTCAGCAGATTCAAATCCTGGCTGATGTGAACACACTGCATCTAGCACTGGACATTGCACAACAAAATCTGATGTCTGCATGGTGCCTTTTTTTTTTTTTTCTGGAGTGTTGCCCATGCTGAGGAAGACTTTGTGGTGAGGCATGTACTCAGCACCCTTGTTAGTTGTACTGAATCTAAATCAGGGAGAAGGAGTGTACAATGAGCATAGCAGAGGGACACTCACAGGATTCCTGAGGCAGGCAAACTAAATGACAAAGCAGAGTTTTAGGACAGTAAGATCCATCCTAGCATCTTGCTCTAAGTAAGAAGCTGAAGCTGCAGCACTGATGTATTTCAGAGGCATACCATTCATGAACCATTTAGTAATTTAGTTTCCAGCAACTAATTGGCTCCCACAAATTTCTTTGCTGCTAGGGAATGATATGCAGTGACCATGGCTAAAGCAGTGCAAGCAAGGCAGATCTGGCTTTTGTTCTTTGAAGGCTGGGTGATGAAAGGAGGTGGAGAGAATGGGCGACTTAACTACTGACCTGTGGGGCAGAGGTCACTTGAGACCCAGTCTTAAACCTAAAGGTCATTGACAAAGTGTTTAAATCTGTCACTTTTCAGGGGTTTAATTGTATTTTTAATACAGCAGGTGCTGAGAGAACCAGAGGGCGAAAGGTGGGTGGAGGAAGCATCTCAAACAAGTATTTGTATTACAGAAGGTGGAGATTCCCTCTATCAGGTTAATACATGTATCTGGTTGAATTTATTCATTATTGTTATGTCCATAAGCCACAGGTAGCATTTCAGTTGCAGTCTGGGTTGGCCTAGCTCTTCTCTATAAGAAAAAGAATTAGTCTCATCTCATTGTGTTCTCCCCCCATGCTCTTCCCATGTGGGTGAACAAATGAACATCCCATCCCTCCATAGTTTGTTTTGCTGTCATGGTTTGCAAACCCAACACTGCACAACTGAGGACCCTGCAATAAGCCTCTTTTGGGACTGTCTTTTGGGAAAAGGACCTCCCAGGCACTGAGAGCCAGAAAGAGAGACAAAGAGCAACCAACCTTTCTGTGGATACATCTACCCTGATGAGCGTCAATGCCACAAAATAGCACAGAAACACCTTTAAAGACAGGCTCCTTTTTAGGTAGCCTGAAACCTTAATGGAAAGCTAAAGGATGTCAGCCCACAGTCAGCAAGTCTCCAGGGAGGAGCTCTGCCTCCAACCCTGGGTGTAGACAATGTTTAACATTGATTTTTCTCTTGCTGACTATTTGGCAAACCCTGGTAGACAGCAGTGCTCAGTCCTGGAGCTGAGAAAGGCTAAGAGCAGCCAATATTAAATCTCCCTTCAAATCATGGAAGAATTGCTGTGCTCTGATACATAGATGTACAACCAGCCAAAACATAACCTATAGATTCTTTCAACTCAAGACTACGCAGTATCAAATTCAAGCTTTAAAAAGCTTTACACTTACTGGAAAGACCTGAAGACTCTCAAGAGGAAACTACAGTGCCTAGAAACGCCTATTAGACCTAGATAACCACAGAAGCTCAGGCCAGCTGACTGTGACCTGAAGTGTTTTACTGCCTGCAGATTAAAACGTGTTTCAGAATGAAGTACCTGGCCTTGATAAGAGGCTCTGCAGCGAACTCTGTGGAACTGAATGGCAAAAAGTCAGCTGAGACTTCCTGACAGAGTGAGTAAGCCCAGCAGGTTGGGCTTGCCAAAAGTGCTTGGTGCTGGCACAGTCTGCTTGGGTGGGAAACATTCCCACCACTTGAATGGGAACTGAAATAACAAAATGTTGAAGGGAGCTGCCGGCTCTGGCTCTTCCTGACGAGCTATGCTGCAAAGGTTTTCCCTAAATTTTCAGGCACAGAAGAGTGGCCAACTGCTGTCTGGTGAACATGCCCAGCCAACTGTGTTTGGCACAGGACAGCACACTCTCAAAGGCCATGTTTCTGCATAGACATGTGGAATGCAAATGGGTGTTCCCCAGCTCTCAGATTTGGAAGTGAGGGGAGAAATTCATGGCAGGTAACGTCAGCAGCATAATTTTACCTGTCACTTTTGAACTGAAAAGCTGAGCAGATTAGAAAACATATATATATATATATATATATACACATATATATACATATATATATGCCTTTCTATGTCTCTATCTTACCCTTATCATCTCCTTTTTGAAGTTAATTTAAGGTCACATGCAAAGGAAAAACCACAAATGTTGCCTTTAAAATAGAAATTATTCATTTAGACTAAGGAAAAAGAAAAATTATAAGAATGAAAACAAGACAAATTGTTGGTGAAAGTGGGAGAAAGTGTGAAGGATGGTTCTTCCATGCCT